AAGCAGCAGAGGCAGCTGATGCAGCTAGTTTATTTGCAGTGCGTTTCAAGCAGCTGAAGCAGCGCTCCATGAGCCTCTGAGCATCTAAAGCACGGAATGCGCTGCAAAAGCAGCAGCTACCGGAGTTGGAAAAAAATTTAGCTTTTGCTGCTTGACGCGCCACATCTACCAATCAGAGAAGCTGATCTGGGAGACAGACACAGCGCTGCTAATGCAGATCTCTATGATCACTCCTCTAAAAACAGTTTATTAACACCTAAATTAACTTAAAATGTAGAAACCAGCAAAATATGTTTCATTTTATTATTCTGGTGGCTACAGTTTGGATTACGAATGTGAAAAACGCTAACATCTACTTCCACCCGCCGCGAACAGTAGCGGAAAACCGCGAAGAGGCGGCTTGGCCAGAGGTGCAGTTGAACTGGATTCCTAGTAGGTCTACGGGAGTCTGATGGGCTCCGACAGCGTAACTTGATGAACTGACTGCACAGATTAGCAGTCAGGGTAGCTCTGCCCAACACGCATCAGACCCACTTTTTGACCACACAGTTAGAGTAGCAAAGATGTTTCAGCCGAGCGTCAGAACTAAACCTGTACAAGCATAAAAAATGAAGCAGAAATTAGGTTTTTACTGCTCCTGATGCTTGCGGAGTGAGCGTAGCATTAGACTGTGGACATCGTCTCCATAGTGAAAGATGTCTTTCAGTCATTAATGCACACATTCAGTGACACACAGGAGCTCTTTCAATCTGGGAACCGTTTCATTCACAACACCTGTCCCATCAACGAGAAATCAGAATCAAAAATATTTTAACAATCCCAGGGCAAAGTTACATTCGTTACATTACTCCATCTGTAATAGAGGGACTATAGGTCCAGTTTGATATAACACAGTTTCATTCAATATATATATAATTAGAGGGTCCCCGCTCCATCTCACCCTCTGTTTGAGGGTGCTTGGTCTGAAACCCGTTGAAGACCCCTGCTTTTTGGGATGTGATTCAATATTTTTTTTCTTCCCAATCACTTTCAAGTTAAAAATTTGCTTGACTGTGTCCAGTATGTACTTTATGTATGCATTTTATTTTTCTGATAATCTGTTTAAAAAGAAAGTAAAAAAAAAAATACTCCTAAAGTAAAAGTTTCTAACATCCAAACAAAAAATTTGAATTTTTCCTTTTAGCCATGTTTCTTGAAATATCCAAAAGTAACTTTTCTTCATCTTTGTGTGTCTCCAAAATTATTCCATATTCCTACTGCAGCTGCAGTAGGTTTTGCCCTTGCAGTTCCCTCCTTTAATAACTTAAGGTGTTAACACAAATGTAATATGACCTATTTTATAGATATACTAGATGTGTACTAGATTATGTACTAGAGAGCTATAACTACAGTTAAAACATAGGAACACAACTTTCTGTTTCCTCACACAACAGGACACAATAAACAGCTTAAAGACAGGAGAAATTTAAATGTTGAAGGCATGTACAAGACTAAAACTCATACACATATTAGTTTTTCCATTAACATCAATGTAATCTATAACCACATGTTGTCATCCATAATACAATACAAGTGACAGTGCAGATGTGGGAGAAATAATGATTGTAACAAAATAAACAAAGCAAAATATTGGACAATCTCTCCAAGTCCATGCATGGAGCTCTTACTGACCTGGACAGCTTCATTGCTGCACAGTTGGTGAACATAATGGCAGCACCTATCCTTCATCCCAGCTAGCCTGTAAAGTCTTTACTGATAGACCAACTAAGTATTTTCAACCATATTGCTGGTTGCATGGTTTTTATCTGCTTAGTAAATGCTTTTGTACATCATTGCCTCCTGCTATTTACAGTTTTTCACCTGCTATATATGTTTTTAAACATATATAGTAAACAGCTAAAGCTGAAATTCCCACTGCTTTTCATTGATATCTGTAAATTCCCAGCTGTTTCTCTTTTAATCTTGGTCATTTGTTTTCTATTTATTAAGTAATGGCCATTTTTTTTATATAACTGC